CTCAGGTTTGTTAGGCGAATACTCTCTCTGTGTGCCAACGCCGCACAAGAAATTTCATTGACTAAGTGCGTACATATCATTAAATCTTTAATAGTACCCGTTAGAGATAAGTTGGGGACTAATTGATCTCCAATTAAACCCATAAGGGAAGAGTCGAGACTAATTGACCTCCATTAGTACCCGTATGAGACTAGTTGGGAGTAATTAATGGCCAATTGTACCCAATTGAGAGTAATCTCGGAATACCCTCTTTAGAGATTAGTCGCACAATTTTTTGCAGGGTAGTTTGCGTTTGCTAGTGTACACATACTAAGACAAAAATGTTGCGCTGGTATTGGTAGGTCTGTCGACGCTGTGCACCACTGGTCTTGATGAATGCATGTTGAGCTCCCGACAGGTGATCGCGGAGATCCCATTCCTGATTTGCAGACCAACCAGCCCCTCCCGCGTTTCATGCTTGTAATACAAACGTCACCCTTACCACACCCCAACCCCTGGGGATTTACTCCCTTGCGGCGGAAACAACCAATGTTGGACAAAGCCAACGACATAATAAATGACTCCTAAACTACAATTTATGGTGCGCGCAATGATGGTGCCACACAAAGAGGAGGCATCTACAATTTTACGCCGCCTCCGAAGGGCAAATTGATTTCATGAGAAGCTTTTTGAAGGCCGGAATGCAAAAACAATTCTTTTTTTTATATTGCTCAGACCAAGAATTGAACCCTCAACCTACAAAGCTGCACTACGCTCCTCTCCCCACTCGACCACGGCGGCGAAATAAACAGCACAATGAAATTTTAGAGAAATACTTTCAAATCTCCCTGTAACTTCAAAATGTAAAACCTGTGCACATCTATGTAGAATCCCAGTTCTTTAATTTGACTTCTCATTTTGGAAATTCGAAATAACGTTGCAGATGTGATGACCTTCAAAAAAAAATAGATGGCAACTCTAATTAAAAATATTACCAGCCTATAATTTTATTAAAACTCTTTCGTTTGACGCTAATATTTCGATAATTCATTTATGTATCTTTCGTATAAGTAAAACAAACTCGACTTTTCAAACAGGTGGCAACCTCTTTAAAGGTATTTTCAAACTAAAAGCTTTCGCCTGGCATTATTATACATATTTCAATTAAATTATGAATTAAGTTGAATTTAGTATTTTTAAGCACATGGCAACTCTCTTAAATAAAATTTAGAAATAAACTATTTTCAAACCCATTTCGATTGATACCCATCTTTTTACAATCCATTTAACTTATTAAATAATTTGAGCTTAATTTCTTCAACAAAAAAAAACGAAATGTTTAGCTTAAAGATTTCTTAACACTCGTTCTTTTGATAACCATATTTTAAAATTTCATGTAACTTATGTATAATTAAACGAAATACCACTTTCAAAACAGGCGGCAACCCTCTTAAAAATTATTTTCGAACTAAAATTTCCTTAAATATTTTTCGCCTGACATTTTTACAAATATTTCAAGTAACTGATGAATTAAGTGGAAATTCATTTTTTAAACACGTGGCAACCCTCCTAAATATAGTTCTTACATAAAGGATTTTAAACCCATTTCCATTGATTACCATCGGTTAGTAATTCCTTTATTATAATAAATAATTTTAGTTTAGCCTTTTAAGCTGGGCAACCCTCGAATACATCAAAAATGTTCTAAATAGTCAAACTAAGTATTGCTTAAAGCTCTTTCATTTGACATCCATCGTTGATGTTTCATATAAATTGGGTATAAAATAGTTCAATTGGACTTCTCAAATAGGTGGCAACCCTATTCAAAATATTTCCAAACTACTACCTTCTTAAACCTCTTTTGTGTGACACCCATATAGCGATACCTTATACACTTACCAAATTCCTTTAACTAAAATTTAATTACATTTTTTTAAACATGTGGCAACTCTCCTATACGTAGTTAAGTTATAAAGCCTTTTCAAAACCATTTCGATTGATACCCATATTTAATAATTGATTTAACTTTTTAATTAACTTGAGCTTAATTTCTTAACAGGTGGCAACTTTTTTCGAAAAAGTAAAACCTTCTTGAACATCATCACACTAAGCCCTTTAATTTGGTACTGAACTTTTGAAAATCGAACGGACGGTGCGGATCTGAGGGCATTGCTTAATAAATAACTTGAGTTTAATTATTTAACAGGTGGCAACTCCTTTCGAAAAAATAAAACCAGTTTGCATATCTACAGGCCAAGTGCTTTAATTTGGCACCCCATTTTTGAAAATCGAGCGAACAGTACAGATCTTTTATGGTGCACAAAAAATGCCTTCGCGTATTATATATATGGCTCATTCCATTTCAAATCACCCAGGCCGGGGGAAAGTGACTTTAAGTTAGCGATAAAACTCACAGGGATTGTTCCTTGAACAATTTAAGGAGACTCGTATTTTTTCCTTTTGCTCAGAAATGCGAATTTTTCGAATAATGAATTTTTTTCTTTTTGAGTACGAACGTTTACTTTTTCCTCTCGTAGTAGCAACTTTTGATGAAATCGTTTATGCTGCCGCAAAAAAGCAAGGATTTTAACGATTTTTTTTTAAATTGCAGATATTGATCTACTGAATCGATCTAGTGAACTAAACGTCAGTAGTTGTTTATTAATAATTAATTCTTCTCTTCTTCTTATTTGGCGC